CACGCGTTCCGTTAACGCTACCACCGAGTGGTTCAGGGCTTGGTGGGGGAGAGGTTGCCGATCGGCTTGCTGATGTCAGCCCTAATACTGTTAGGAAACAGGTAAATGCGTTTCTCGCAACGCGACTAAATGTCTTACGACATGTGCAAGATGCAATGGCTGATAGTCAAGATAAACAAAAGGAATATGCAGATGCGAAAGGCAGAGGTTGTATTAATGATTATGAGGTCGGGGACCAAGTATTACTTAATGCGAAAAACCTACCTACCAATGTAGTATCCGCTGTCTTTAAGACGAAGTTGCGTCCGCGCTTTATCGGACCCTTTAAGGTCATTGCCAAGAAAGGCACAGCGTATACGCTTAACTTGCCGCGCAAATTGCGTACACATCCTGTGTTCTATGTCGCCATGTTGAAACCTTATCGGGATCCGTCCCAAATAGACGCTAAGGCGCTCGCGCCGGGCCCATTGGCATTGTCGCGGGACGGAGCATCTGCACCAACAAGTCAAGTTGAACCTGCATTCGGGTCCGACTCTCTTCCAGGGACTCAAGCCGGGAGTTCATCGTCTGCCTCTCCTCACGAAGGCTCCGCACCTCCTGAACAAGCTCGGCATGAGCTTGTTCCGATACACCGACCTCCTCCTCCTTTGCTCGATGCGCAGGGGAACCTGCAGTTCCATGTGGAGCGTCTACTGCAGAAGCGTCGCCGCCATGGTCAAAACCAGTATCTGGTGAAATGGCGGGGATATCCCGAATCGTGGAATTCATGGGAGTTTGAGACTCCCCTTCGGCAGGACTGCCCGTACGCCGTGGAAGTTTTTGAGCGTCGTGCGCAGGGTCTGCCTGTTGGCGCTGACGCTTCTCACCAGTAATGGTGAGGGTAGGCGGGTTAGCGGCCTCGGGCTGTCGTGAACTCGCGGCTACAGGGGTAGCCGAAACATTGGGCTGCTGGGTAGCAGGCGCATAATGCGTTCGTTGGGATTTCAATTTTCCCCGGGCCTTTAATTTAGCGTAACCATAACGCATCTTCCGCTCAAGTCGAACATCTGCCACATCGGCACTTGCCCGTAGGGCCCACATGCTGCTTAAACGTCGCGCATAATGCGCCCAGCGGCTGAAAGCCGTGTCTTCTTCGTCCTCGGTTTCCCCCGCGAACAGAAGGATGGGAACACCCTTCATGGGAGGGACTGGCGCACCGCGCACTTGCCTGTTAAGGCGTTCCAAGTATTGGCTTTGTGTAGTGATGTGGGGTTCCAGATATCGTTGTCGAAGTACCGTGCGCGTGGCAACATCCTCAGGTGAAATGGCCTCAGGCCCAATGGTCCAACCAGAAAGGGAATGCCCAGATGCTTCCTTTAGGCGTTCTTCCACCGTAGGTGGCTTGAACCTGTACTGTCGGTGGTCCTGCAGCCGCGTCATGTTCTTCGTTCGGCGCTTGGCGCCTTCCTCTTGGTCGATGGACCGCTGTTGCTGCTCGTCGAGTGGATTGGTAACCGTTACCGTTGATGATACGTCAGGCGGGTCACGTAACGCTGTTAGCGCATCTGCTGCACCACGTTCAGGGAACGGATTCGGTGCATGACGAGTGTCATCTTCACCCGTGAGGGTGGCTAAAGGGGACCCATCGGGTCCCACAAAGACGGTGTCACTTTCGTAATCAACCGCTTCGTCAAGGTCGTCCTCAATAAGGTCCCTAAGAGTCTGTGACTCACTGCCGGGAGGCGTCATGTTGTGTGCCGTGAACAAACCGTGAGGTTTTAAAAGTTCGCTAAAGCACTACCTCTAATGAGGAAAGATGTCGAGTGACATTCTATGGGAACGTCAGTCTGGTGGGGGAGGGTGTAACGGGGTTACACGACGGTTGTAACGTCTTTCCGAGAGTTTACGCTTGAACTCTCCTTTCTATTGCATATAATGCATTATTATACTTCTCGTTAGAGAGGTATTAAGTATGAGCGTTATAATACGGTATTCGGTAATACCGTATCTTATCGATTGGGATTCGATAAATCACTAACGCTGTATTAAGTACATCATACACAGATGTTTAGACGATACGTCATCCAATAGCAAAGTCTGCATATAATAATTACTATTATAGTAATTAATCTAGTGTAGTGTACTTAGAGTAGGACTATTCATAAAATCTTAAAGCATAAATATAATCAGTTCTCCTTTTGAGTTTAAGATCGCAAGTCGTTCTGACTTGCTCTCTTGTGCACTTCGTGCGTTGGTTCTCTGAACCCCTAAGCTTCTAGCTTGTTCTTGCACTCTGTGCGTTGGTTCTCTGAACCTTAAGCATATTGCTTTATTGACTAAAAGTCTCTTTCCTAATTCCTTAGAACAGGGTGACTTTAAGTCGTTTAATTAGTTCCTTAGAACTAAGTGGCTTTTAGCCTTTACTCTATTTAGTTCTCTAGAACTAAGAGGCTTCCAGCCGAAAGTCTTCCTCTGGCTAAAGAGCTGTATAGCTCCGCTACAGAGCTGGAGTTGTTCATTTGTCCAGTTTGCATCCCTTCGCAAGCAGGACTGCTGATTTTGTCCGCATTTGATACTTTAAACGCCTTCGATTTTGGTGATTGCTTATATAGATTTTTAAGCACCACCTTGTCGTCACCTCTCCAACCGCATCAGTATCGATGGCGTTAGCCACTTTTGGAGGATCATGTCTTTTTTAAGCATTTTTAACGTCTAGCTTAGTATTCCAGCACCCTGTTTGCACCATATATTTGTCAGTCTAATCTTGTAGGTGCTCTTCTGCAAATTGATTGCGATGACACCATTTGTCGTCATCTTTTAAGACTCAGTCGTCCAATGACGTCGAGTCCTTGAGTGACATCGTGTTGCCCTATGCGATGAGAATGTTCAATGTAGTGCTCAAAATGATGATCTCCCAACCATACAATAGATGGATGGAGTCAAGCCAACCTGAATGGAAAAAGCGTCATTACTCCAACATCAATAAACCTGAAAAATATTAGTTAGGACCTTAAGCCGGATATCATCCCGTGAACTCGAGGCATCATAGATCTTAATCTCGTTGCAGTTGGGCTTCCAGCATCAGAACGACGCCATCTCTTAAAGTTTTAACAATGGAAACTCGAATGTCTGTGTTTTGCTGCAACTGCAAACAACTGAAGATCAGACCTCGCGCTAAGGTCGCTAACGATTTCAGTACCTGGTCTCGATCCTGAAGTGCATAATAATGTAATAACTCGTGGCGAAATTAAAGCACTTTCTGTACTGCAGCAACAAGATCTACGCTAGTTACCAAGCACAAATTGCAAACTATAGGACAATGTGACCTCAAGATTATCGCGTTGACTTGGGCGCGGGCACCTGATTCTGTTTAATCGAATATCAACTCTACAATGCTGAATCGTACGGACTTTTAACTGCATCTTCGAAGCCCATGGTATATGAACTGGTGTCTCGCGAGCACCAACGAGCTAGTTCACAAACCTGCATGTGCCAAATGGAATAACCTCACTTACTTGTGGGACCGCCCATGAAGACATCCATGTCCCCCAATGACCACTGCTCGCTTGAGGTCGAAGGCAACATATCTTATTTTGTGCCGTAGCCAAGTACAACGGAAAAACTGCGAAGGCTGCACCACCGCACGACTGCGTCGTGATCTCGATGATCTTACGCTTTTGTTTACTACGTTGGTGAAACTGATGTGAATGATCGTCAGCCGACAATGCTGCTGCAACGTATGAGTACATTCCTGCAGACGGTTGATACGTCGACGATGAACGCGTTACAAGTGCAGATACAGGAGGTCGAGGAAGAAAAAGCAAGATTGGATAGGCAAGACTGGAAATGAAACACACAAAGCGGTAGCTGCCGCTTTGTCTGCTGCTAGTACTTATAATGCTGCAAAGCCTTTTGCTGCAAAAAAGCAACGTGAGCTTCTTGCACGAGAGTACAACCAGGAACTCCATGAAGTCTTTTCCGAATAATATGCTAAGCTTACAGCAGATTCTTAACGACTGAGACGTCTTGTACGCGCTACGTTTTGAGACGGAGATACGAGTTTTATTTATGGAAGATGAAGAAGGTAATGCTGCTATGATATCCCGAAGACAAAGGTCAGGGTATAACGATAAGCACTGTTCCTAGATGTGTCTGCGTTCGTGAAAACGCACGCTCTACTGAAAGACACAGCTGTTGTTTTGTACAACGCCCTCATAAAGGACCACAAATACGAATCACCAGCTAGTCATGCCTCGATCATATTTTCTTGTGTGCTTGCTGTACAATAAGCATTGATATTATCGAAATACTATTGGTAATCTGAATGGCACTTCATGAGGAAACACAACAAGAACGATCTGATGAGCATTGAGAGACCAAGTGACTTTGTCTGGACAATTAGAATTCGCGTGTAGGGGCAATCGTTCTTCGAATTGTTACGCGTTCGGCATATTGCCAATACGATTTCTCGGCAAATTCTTTACTAACAAATTGACTTAGCATGAGTTCGACACTCTTGGGCCATCTGCTGGTCGACAAGGACCAGGTAGTGGGTCACGCAGGATGTAGCGTGGCAGCTGTAGATATCCTACCACACGTAGCTTAACGACAATCTTGTAGGTAATGAGCTCCACATCACCTTTTCTTCGTCATTTTTTGGGTAATTACAACGTCCAGCTTATCGCCGTACGTGATAGTATGCTTAAAACCTATTCCCTGATGCTCATTTTGGTGCTTACTCCAGCGAAGAACTGGTCTAGTTCAGCGACGATAGCGCATGTGTGTCCATTACCCGAAGAATCGTAACGTTTTTACTCAACAACAACTCCAAAATGCTACCAGGTCGCAAATTACATCGTTGCTTACCACTAGACCCGCCCTGCTTCTTCAGATTTGACTCATCATATGTATTGTCGGAGTTAATAATGGGGGTCGACAATTTCTTTCGATGAACACTTTTGCTTCTATGGTGCGGCCTGTACAGCGACACAAGTTGAGCAATTCTCCTGTGTCGTCAAATGCTATGCCGTAACAAGAACTTTGCAGACCTCGTGCATCTTGTCCAAGTATTCCGCTGCGTGTTTCGGTTGGAAGACCAGCGAGGGTCGAAATCGAACCGAGTTGCTTCCACACCCTCCCGAGGCGACACCTTTCGTCTTCATCAGACTCACGAATTCGTTGCGCACGGCTTCTGTCGGGAAGTCCATAGCCAAATACGTTCCCTGACCACGTACATTCGACACCAATGCGGGAAACTCTGTGGCAATCTCATTCAGCCCAGTTTTCAGGTAGGCACCCGTGATGTTGACATTCTCCAAGAGGTTGTCGCTCTCTACCACGTCAAGCACCGCCTTCAGAAGAATCATCTTCGTGGGATCACCCATCCACGTGTTAAAGATGCGATAGCTCTCCTTAAGGCGGAACTCTCCTTTTGCAAAATATCCACCCGTCTGCATCTTCTTGCTAAAAGTGACGAGGTCAGGCGGGTTCTTCAGCCCCCAGTGTTCATGCGCCCAGAATTTCCCAGTGCTGCCACCTCCCGTTTGGACCTCGTCCACAATGAACGCCACACCATATTTGGCAGCCAGGTCACGTAGTTTGCGGAAGAAAGCAGGACTTGCGTGGTTGTCTCCACCCTCGGCTTGTATCGGTTCAATGATCATTCCGGCAATACGTGAGTCCTCAGGCTTAGTCATCTCAGCACTGCCCTTAAGCAGCCGCTCGACCTCATCCAAGCATCGTGCTTCTTCCGCTTCATTGGCAGCTTGGTGAATATTCCGAGGGTATCGCAATTTGGGAAACGGTGCAATTGGCCAGTCAAATGCCGGTACATCCACTTTATGAATTGCCTTCGAATGTGTCGTTGACAAACAGCCCATAAGACGGCCATGAAAGCCTCCTTGGAAGGATAAAATACTCAAGTTTGGTGTCCCGGGTAGTTGGTGAGCCATGCTCGTCTCCAGATCGTGCTTGGAAGGTGAGCGTCCTCCTCTCAGCTTGCTCTGGAACCACATAAAGACCGCCTTGTAGGCGTTTTCATTGGAGCACGAGCCGCACATGAGCGTGTTAACGTCTTCCAATCCTCTCGGGGCCACTTTAAGTAGCGTATCATTAATGCGGTCAACCCAATCAGCAGGCGGGAACACGCCAAGACATGGCCGTTGAGCAAGCATGGCCAGATTGTCTGTATTGCTCACAGCCTCAAGGATCTTGGGATGGTTATAACCAATGGGTAATGACGCAATCTGTCCATACACGTCAAGGAAGCGGTTGCCATCAATGTCCACTAGATAATTGCCTTTGCTGGCCACGTAATCAACGAAAAAGTTGATTGCGCCCGTGTTTTGCAGCGCAGCGAGACGCCGAAGTTGCTGCTGTGATTTGAAACCTGGTACTTGAGATGTCACGATTTCAGCATGTAAATATTCGTCTGGAAAGGCAGGAGCGGGAGTAATGGGAAAGGAGCGAGTGCTGATACTTTGATAGCGTTGCCACAGGGAGGAACGTAGCTTCAAGACGCGGAGACACAGCGACATGACAGCGATAGAGGGACGACTCAAGTACTGGCAGGAGTGATGGGAAATTTCGAGGTGAGCCATCTCGGATTTGCTGAGCGCTGTGGTCAGTATTTTAGGGTACAATGCTTTATTGAGAGGATAGTAGGACCGTGTATCTTGCAATTACGCATTTATCTCACATAAATCACCGTGATTTGATCTTAATTTGTAAGGAATTTTTCTTCTATATAATAATAGAATTGTGTCCGTCCGTCCGTCTGTCCATCCGTAGTGCTCCTTTTCCGGCATTCGGATTGGCTACTTTTGCATTATTTGCTAATTTTGGATTGGCTAATTTTGCATTATCGGCTATTTTGGATTGGCTGATTTTGCGTTTTGCGTCGATAATAACATGGGTAGATTCCCTAACTGAATATAGTTTATTTGGTGTGTCCGTTCTTTATATAATACATCGACGAAACGATGGGTACACGTTGACCTTCATTCCCATCGTTATGTTGCTATATCAAACACAGCTTTTTTTAAATTAAGTACAGACTTTAGATTCGTTTTTTAATAACATGAGCTCAGTGCTTTGATAATACACTTAATGTGGTATGAGCAAGCTCGGTCACTAGGTTGAACTGAATTCAGGTTTCAATAAGCAAAGTAACCCAAAAGTATTAACTTTTACCTATTATTGTATCGGACTCAACCAAATATCTTTAAGTAAATAGATGGGTACGAATATCAAAAAAGTAGATTTTGCTTACCATGTCCGTCGAAACGACAGATACACACTGACCTTCGTACACATTGGCTTTCGTCCTTATATCTTTTAAATTAATTTAAAATACTCTACGGTAAATGACAGGCCAATATATTATTACCGGAGAATTTGCGCACCTATGCGTCGGAACGACGGGGAGCATCAACAAGCTGCACTTTGGCTAAAATAGCTTAAAAGAGCCGTTTGACACACCAACATTTAGTTCTTTTGTGAAGAAGTTAAATTTTTATGTTTGGTCCGCGCGCGCCTACAGTCTAAACGACGGACACACTTCTAAGCGCAGCGTTGCCTTTTTTAAGGATGCCTCTATATACTACTTGATTATGCTTCATGCGCAATTTCGTCTGAACAACAACTTAACACCCTAGCATATTGCTACGTTCAAGATGCCTATATATGCAACTTCGTACCGTTGGAACGACGGTTGATCAAATAAAACATTTACGGAAGGACGAGTACACATAACCTTCATATCCATCTTTACACTAAGTTAAGTCAATTATCAAACGTAAGTTGATGGGTTTACAGGTCAAAAGGTAGACCATGTTCGTCGAAACGACGGGTGATACCCTAACCTTCGAAATGACAGGCGCACATTGACCTTCATACGAATTGCCTTAATATACTAATTAATTACCTAAGTCAATATACGATCAGCGTTAAATTTGAGCATCTATCGGTCGAAACGACGGGAACACCCCTATAAATGTATTTATAAAATAGAACCATGTCCGTCGGAACGACGAGTACACATCCTTGCGAAGCGCCCCATCAATAATGCCCATATACTATCAGTGTAGACCTCGCATGCATGTCCGTCGGAACAACGGGTGAATACCCTAGCAATTCATTGCGATATACATACTACTTGCACCGTCGGTACGACGGGTGAACACCCTAAATGGTACAATATGCTATTAGCGTAGAGTTTGCCGTCCTATTCGTCGGAGCGACAGGCACACAGATGTGATCTGCTACAAGTGCGGCAAGAGAGGCCATATGATGGCTCGCTGCTATGCCAAAGAAGCTGCTGGTGCTAAGGCAGCCAGCAAGAAGGCTCCCAACCCGAAGGGAGGTTCGAAAAAACAGCGTACACGACGCACGGATTCGGCACCTGCCCAAGATGGGTCGGGAAATGTGGGAGCGAGTAGGGGCGGGATGCACTACTGTCGTGGACTATGAAGCTACCCCTAAGCTCAGAGTGATCGAACAAATGGGTATCATAGTTCCTGAGGTTCCGAAAGGTCGGACCTCAACTCTTTTGGTCTATAGCGCTCGGGTACGAGGCTATGACCAAGTGATGACCCTTCTCGTGGATTCGGGTGCATCACAAAACTTTGTGAAACTCGCGGCTCTGAAAAGGAGACCGGCGAGTTATGAGTCGCTTTGCCAGGATGGCAGGCGAGAAAAGGCGATCGTTCGTTTAAAGAACGGCGCGCTCGTTAAATCGGAGGGAGTTCAAGCTGAACTCGCCTTCAGTTTCAGTGACTTCTCTTGTAAAGAGAAGTTCACAGTGCTAGGTATGGAGAGTCCGTATGACCTCATCCTAGGCATGCCTTGGTTGGCTTAACACCAACCATGGATAGACTGGCGTACACGCACAGTCGCTAGCTCTACGCAAGACACCGGAAAGAATGTGCTCTTGCGAGAGGCTTATGTTGCTGATGCTGTGTCCAACACAGTGGAGGGTGCGATGAAGGTATGTGAATCGGCACCAGGTACTACCCAGTAGACAGGCAGCAGCAGCTTCCTGTCAGGAAATGCCCTGGTGGAAAGACAGGTGACACATATTCCTACCCAAGTCGAAAAGATTGGTGTAGTGAATGGTGCGATGACAGGTAGTCATGCGTCCAATAGTCCTGCACAGAGCCGAATACCTGTGGCAGTTGATGGTGGGCTGACAGGAAGTCAATCGTCACAAGAACCGGCACAGAGCTATGAGCCTGGTGCGGCTGAAAGGAGTGCGTTAGCTGAGATAGCAACGACACCTTCTTCCAGGTCAAAGATCGTGGTGACTCGAAGAACGAGCACCAGAAGTATTAAGACGATCAAGGGCACGTCGAAACGAGTGACCCTTGGATCAGTCTCGGTCCAAGAGAACGGACCTACGAACGAGTTGTTCGAGGTCGTCGAAGACAGAATGCCGGTGGCATCCTCAGTTGAGGTGCTCCAACTTGTCTTGGCATCTGCCGAGAAGATAGTAAATCTCTCGGAAATGACGTGGGATCTGTTCCTGTTCGAACTAAAGGAAGAAAAGATCCACGAGATAGTCGCACCAGTTCCAGAAGAGAACGTGGTGGACTGTTGCTCGTCGTCCACAATGGATAGAGCGTCTTGCAGACCGAAAAAAAGAAACGGTTCGCTGCTCAAGGCTGGGATGCCTTGAAGGACAGCCCGTTCGATAATGTTCTGTGGAAACACCGTGATGTGTTTCCAGCAGAAGTGCCGATCCGCCTACCGGCCGATAGGGGCATCAGGCACGAGATTGACCTGGAACCTGGCACCAAGTATTGTGTGCACAGGCAATGGCCGTTGCCGAAGGAACAAGTCGATTACATCGATGAGTTCTTCGACAAGCGAGCTAAGGCGAGACATGTACGTGAGAGCAAGTCTCCTCACTGCAGCTCAACCTTCTGTGTGCGTAAAGCCACGAGTGGATGGCGCGTGGTTCATGCTTATACAAACTTGACACGGCCACCATTCCGGCTCAAACGCCGATCCCGCGAATGATGTTTTGTTGAACTCCATGGGAAAGTCAGCTATCTTTTCCGCGTTGGATCTGAAGGATGGCTACTATCAGGTTCTTATGAGAGATACCGATGTAGCCAAAACGGCATTAAGCACCCCAAGCGGTATGCTGTGGGAGTGGCTTGTGATGCCACAAGGGTTGAAAAATGCTCCAGCAACATTCAACCGAGTGGTGGCTCACGTGATGCGTCAGCACCGTGCCTACGCGCCCCATTACTTTGACGATGTATTCGTGCATAGTAGGGCGGAGGACGGTCTGAGCGCGATAGAGTCGCACAAGCGTCATTTAGACGCTGTGTTGCAGACTCTGGGTGACGCCCAATGATACATAAGCTTGCAAAAAAAGTGCGTAATAGGGGTCCCCGAGATACCTGTACTGGGCTGCATCGTAGGTGCACATAGTGTACGAGCAGACCCAGAAAAGGTAAAGGCTGTAAAGGAATGGCCAGTCCCATGTCATGTGAAGGATCTGCGCCAAGTCCTTGGGATCGCTAATTACATGCATAAGTACAGCAAGAATTATGCGGAGCAGACTAAGCCATTGTCTGATCTTTTGAAAAAGAATACAGAATGGACTTGGTCAAAGGAGCAAGTAGATGCGTTCACTTCAGTGAAGAAATCTCTTGTAGAGGCATCGGTCTTAGCAATTACAGACGCGGATAAGTCCTTTAGCGTCGTCTGCGATGCAAGCAATTTTGCAATCGGCGCGCGCGCCCATGCAGAAGGATGAAAACGGCGTTGACCGTGTCATATCTTATCAGTCTCGGCTTTTAAAAGCCGCAGAGCTGAATTACCCTGTGCATGACAAGGAGCTACTTTCAATTAAGTATGCCCTTGTAAGTTTCGGGTGCACCTCTTGGGCACCGAACCTTTTGTGGTTTATAAGGATTACACATCACTGCGGATCGCTATAAATTCACCGCACCGCTCGCCTAGTATGGCGAGATGGCTAACATTCTTCTCTAAATTTAAATTCAAAGTTAAATATACGCCGGGCATCTGGGCAGTTAAAGACATTTTTACGAGTGTCAGAGGAATTTTGGTAGCCCCACCTATATCGGTGGGTGGCCAACTATATTCGCTCTTGCGAAGAGTGTCAGCGCATAAAGCCTGCATCTTCAAACAGTGCGCCACTGAAGCCAATGCCGATTTCAACTGAATGTTGGAAGTCGGTCAGTTTGGACTTCATGTTTGGCTTACCTCCTGGGGACGGGGCTCGTTGTCTTTGTAGACAGACTGAGTAAGATGGTGCAGTTGGCACCATGTAGCAGCAAGATCTCAGGAAAAGAGGCTGCCCTCTTGTTTCTGGATCATGTGTATCGACTACACGGGATGCCCGAATCCATAGTATCGGACCGGGATCCGCTGTTTACGTCGGGTTTTTGGCGACATGTGTTTGAGCATCTGGATATCAAGCTCTACATGTCAACCGCTGATCATCCCCAGACCGATAGCCAAACAGAACGGCCAATCGAGTCGTGGCGGATGTAATGCGCACAGTAGCGACTCCCAAAGAATGTAGCAAACAATTGCCATTCGTGGAGTTTGCTTTTAATGATAGTGTTCACGCCAGTGCCGCAGTCCGTTAATGTAAAACGGTAACCACCGTTTTACATTAACGGACTGCGTCATCCTCGAACGCCAGTCTCGTTTGTACGCAGCCCGATTCTTAGTGGGGGAGGCCCCTCACTTCGCTCGGTGCGAATGCCAAAAAGGGCCAAAATTGCCCTAGTGACACTGCTCATTTAGTAGTGGTCACGACATCTATAGGTGTCACAAAGGAGGCACGGTAAGAAATGCCAGCGCTCCTTGAAGATGACACTATAGTGTTATTAACAACGTCGACCCATGAACGACCTCTTGGAGGCGTCATCGTCGAGCTGGATGCTAAAAGCGTGAGCGAAGTTCAGCGCTTTGTGGATGAGCGATTAGCCATCACACGTAAAGTCCGTGACGCGATGGCAAGCGCACAGGACAAGCAAAAACAATATGCAGACCAGCATGGTCGCAAAAATAATGAACACTTTAGTGTGGGGGTCAAAGTGCTATTAAGTACTGCTACCCTACCTTAGCATGCAATTTATGTACTACCTGGTGGTACTACTAAGCTATTGCCCCGATTCATTGGGCCCTTTACAGTGGCTGAAGAAGTTGGAGACCTAAGTTATAGGCTCACTTTCCCACCGTATATGAAGACGCACCCCGTATTTTACGTGGGTCGTCTGAAACGGTATGTTGATCCAGAAGAGATCACATATCCACATCGGTCTAACGAGACCGATGGTGACGTAGACTGTGAGTCGAGAGTCGCGGCCGATCAGGCGACGAGGAAACCGAGAGGCTCCCCGTATACGAACGAGGCGATAGAGGACTCGGCGATCGAGGAGGACTCCGCGCTTGACGCGGGTCTCTCATCACCAGTCGCTTTAAAATGTCCAAACGGAGTCTTCAGGCGGTCATATCCCTGACGGTCCCTCGTCCTCGCATCGCGCAGATCCAAAGTCAGTCGCGAGACATGACTCTCGAGATCTGCCACCTGCCTCTTCAGCGCAGCGGACTCAGCCTACGACTGAACAGAAGCAGGGTAGGCAGCCGCGAGTAGGTGGGCGTAATCGCCACTCCTATCGGGCGCCACCTTTGTTGGTGGACACGGAAGGGAATACGCGCTTCCTTGTTGGAAGGCTGTTGGCCCACCGGTTTGTGAAGCGAAAGCTCCAAATCCTTGTCCAGTGGAAGGGTTACCCAACGAGCTTTGACTCATGAGAGCCTGAGGACGCTTTGCGCGTTGACGAGCCTGGTCTGGTGACTGCTTATGTGAAGCAGCACCAGCATTCTTCTTTCTGCTAGGTTCGGAAGGACTAGCAGAAGAAGCGTGGCGAGAATTAATTGGGGGTCGCTAACCGCCCATAATTTCATGCGCACGCTTCATGGCGAAGCTGATTCGCTGCGACCGCTGTTTCGTTGCATCTTCATGCAAGGTAACACGGCGCCGGAGATCAGCTTCATATTCGTCGGCTGTTTCGTTAGAACGCAGCACGACTGGAATTGGGAAAGCACGACCAAGTGCTTTGCCCTGCTTTTTCCACAAAGGAAAGACGCTATAGAATCTATGAGCGTCTATAGTGGCACGCTGCAAAAGCGCTGCACAAGACCCATCCGAGTTCATCCACTCAGATGGAGGTGGCATTGATGGCAAGCCACCACTCACGTAGCCGCCCTCGCGACGGCGGGCTAGTGAGGCCGAAGGTGTACTTGGTGGAGCTTTAAGCTCCCAGTCACCTGAGTCTGACTCTCCATTATGGATTGTCAAGACATCAGCTTGAGGAGTTACATCTGACTGAGTCGCGACTGCTCCTTTCGAAGTAGCGTGCTCAGTCTTAGTCGCTGCGCTCGTAGGCGCAGACGACGAGTCTTTACCTTCGCTTGTAGGAAGAATAGATGCTTCCTCAAGGACGGGTGCCTCAAATGATGGGTACATACGTCCCATCAATGTACTATGCTCATTGCCACTTTGGGGTGATGGCAGTGGTGTGGTCTCATTGTAGTCTACAATGAGAGATGGATCTTCATCCACATTATCGTGAGATGGAAGATCCACCCCAGTGCCTGACGCACTTTGCGACGGCTGCGATAGATCGCGGCGCGTGCGCTTAGTGCTGGACTGCATGGGTGCCTTTGCAGGCGACCCATCAGCCTTACCACGTTTCGGTGGCATGAGAATTGAGCAGACTAAAGCGGCGCGTTTATAACGGCTCGCAAATATCTCTGTCTCCTAGGCGATGTTTTACAAAATGTAAAAATCGTTCTAAAACGGGGGATGGTGTAACAGGGTATCTAGTTACACGTAAACATTAAGTAATATACTTAATGTTTGGTCCAAAAGTATCCATGATTACTTTTGACCTGTCACTTGGGTGTGATACACAAATGTGATCCACCCTCGTGAATGTGATATCCATTGATGGATTCACATGAGAAGGGATGACGCTAGTTGAAGCTAGGCATCGCGACGTCTCAGAAAGACGTCAGTTGCGATCTTAAATCTAGATTTAAGATCATACGACAGGATAAGCTTCAAAAGAGTCGCGTATCCGATCTATATACATATATAACCAATCAGTAGATAAGTTTATATTTAATTATAATTTATTAAATATAGCTCAGTCTTGAATTTGCTAAACGCCGAAGCACCACGCACGAGAAGCTGAAGAAGCTTCTACGTGACGTCGGTGCTTCTTGTCTTAGAAGTTTGTTGCACTCTCGCTTAAGCGAGAGGAAACTGGTGGTACGACTGCTTAAGCAGTCGACCAACCTCCTAACCACCCTCACACGCGAAGGTAAGACGGTCTAACCGCTTCCTCGCTTGTGCTGAAGGTGTTTGCAAGTAGCACAAGGCAACTTCGTAGAAGTGCCCGTCTACAGTATGACCGAGCCCTTGGTTTGGCCTAAGCTACTACTCTTCCGACGTCCAACAACTACCACCCTCTGTGGTATGATGACGTCGGCACCGACTCGCCTCAATGGAACTATGGTTTCGAAATTCGACGTGAAGACGATGATGAGGTTTGTTTGGAATGCGCTCCTGCTCATTTCAATCACGGATCCTACGTGGAAATGGTTACATAAGTCACCATGGTATATGATGTGGAAAAGATGACTCGTATGGAGGTCTATACCTACATCTCTGCGTTTGTGGACACGCTTGAGAATCGACCTGCATTACAGCAATTGGCAACTATTGAAGCCAACCGTGGTATTATGCTTCGGTACATTGCGACTAAAGACCGTCTTGATGCGATCGCTCTTTCTCGAGCACTCTGTCGTCTTCTGGCCTACTCTCCACCTGGTGATAGTACCGAGCGCACGGCGTGCCTCATATTTCTTCAGACGACGGCAACGGAGTCTTCTCTGCTACAGCGTCTTCTTCGTTACGTTCCATTATCTTTAGCTACGGCAGAGCAAGCACTATTGGTTCTTTCGGCGTGGGATGTGGTTCTTCACACTATGGCACCCACGGTGTATCAAGACCCCCCACAAAATTCACGTCTTAGTTGGTGATAGTCCCAAATTTCTCACCAATCTTACGATTACGCTTCTTTCGTACGACATACTATGGTCGCTTGGCTTTAGCTCCTTTGCTAAAGACCTGTTCCTTATGAAAGTGTTCCCGAATTTTTTAAAAATTCCTGGTTCAGGAAGTCCAAACCCTGAAGCCGTCAGAGACTGGCGTTTTTACCCCTCGCCTTCGCTTCTAGTTTGGCCGCTTGGGCCTTTAAAGCTGTTACACTAAACGTGAATGGTCTTAATTGACCAAATTTGAACCTATACCAAGATCTTCTCACGCGCTACCAAGTCATTGCTTTAAAAGAGACCAAGCTTTCCAGCTCTACTTCTCTCGCTGATAATGATTATTTTCTTCATGCTGCTGATGCCAACGCGTGTTCTTTCTGGTCAAAGCAGATCTCGGGCGCGTACAGGCCTCGTAATGGTGTTGCTCTCATATTCAATGGAGCCCACCCTCTTCACGACCTTCGCGATCTGACTTCCGAATATGCTGCCATCCCCGTGCTGGGCGATAGGTACTTAGTGGTAGCCGCTCGTCTCGGATCTCTTTCCATTTATTTTCACGTGCTGTATGAGCCGTTTCAAGCAGGGCATCGGTCGGCTTTCTTTTCTGCATTACCCTGGCGGTTTGAGGATTCCGCGGTTCATATTGTTCTGGACGACTTCAACATTACCATGGACCCAGACTTTGATCAAGCCTCTCCTACCTCCACCCACCACAACTCTGGTCGGGTGGAACTGTTTGATTGGATGATTACTTAGGTCTTCTTGATTTTTGGCGCTTGGAGAATCCCACCCGCTTGATATTCACAGCTCCTAAATCCAAGAACCGTGTTGATTTTTGTCTTGCGTCAGTGAACTTTAACGATAAGTTTTTCCGCTCTAGCTCCCACATTTTAGACTATAAGTTCGACCATAGCGACCACATCCAGTTTAGTTTTTTGCCTCCTCGGATGAGACTCCTTTTGGCGAAAAGGTTGCCTTTCAAATGTCCCACCTGGCTTTTGCGCTGCGCTGATGTTCAAACCCAATTACGGCACAACCTTTTTCGGCTTATGGCGTCCCTCGATCCCGACCGGAACCCAGGGTGCACTTTAAACGAACACAAACGTCGTGATCGTATCTTTCTTAGTAAGGAATATCTTTGGCGAAAAGGTGCGACTGCTTCCCAGCTTCGCCAACTTTTGGCTGCTTTCCGTGATTCAAAACGCCTTTTTGCACTAGACTCGAGCGTCGACTACGGGAGTCTCGCCAAGCATTTGACGTTTTTAACTCGGCTCTTCGAGACCGGAACTCTCTCTCCGCATTCGACTTGGCCGTTGGTAATTTTGAACAATCTTCTTGTCACTTTTTTTCGGGCTCCTGCTTCAGCCAAGCTGAAACTGAAAAATTTGTCGGTTGAAACACCGAAAGGGCTTTCCAAGGACCCTCACGTTATTCAGGCCACGCATCGTGCTTACTGGGGAAAGCTTTTCCAATCCGATTACCAGGATCTCTCAGTGGAACCTATCCAATTTGCCCCAGCCAAGCTCAAGTCAATTCTAAACCACAGCGTCCGGAAGCTGTCATCGTCCCACTCCGCCATGCTTGATGCCCCTTTGACTGCCAACGACTTCTACTACGCCATCAAACACAATTCTCGTGGGAAATCGCCGGGTCCCGATGGCTTACCGGCTTAGTATAACCAATCTTTCCCAGCCAGTGGGCTTTGTTACTGGAGCTTGTTTATGCTGTCCAATTCCGTAAGGGACGTATGTCGAAGTTCCAACGTCGTGCCTACCTCTCGCTTTTGTCCAAAAAAGGTTCTTGGGCAGATCCCAAAAATTATCGTCCGTTGGCTTTACTGAACAAGACGCCAAGCTTGGACCCAAGGCTTTGGCTTATCGCCTTAATCATGTTATACGTTCCCTACTCGGTGTGGACCAATTTGGTTTTATGCCTGGGCGCAATATTCGCCACGCTCTTTGATACTTGCAGGATATCTGCAAACGTACACCCTCTCGTGATCCTGCCGGTGCCATTTGCCTTGATTTTGCCAAGGCATTTGACAGTGTTAACTGGCAGGCACTTGACCAAGTTGAAATACATTAAGGTTTTGGGGCAAATTTTTGGCATTGGTTACGTACCTTTTTCAAGGGAACACTGGTGCAGGTTTTAATAAACAATTCTTGGTCGGACTTCTTTAGTTTGGGAGATGGGGTTCGGCAAGGTGATTCCATTTCTCCTGGTCTTTTTGTGCTCTTCAAAGAACAGCTACTGTTCTATCTTCGTGAAGTTAATGACGATTTTACTATACAACTTCGGGGGACGTCACACCATCTGCCTAATTTTGCTGATGATGTCACTGGCTTGGTCAACGATCTTCACCATACTCCGGCTTTTCTCTCTCGTGTCCACGATTTCTGCACCACTACGGGAATGCGGCTTCATGTTGCCAAGACGGTCATCTTTCCATTTCGCCCCTGGACTGCTGCTGACGACCACCTTCGTTTACGCCTTTCGACCTGTGTTAAACAACTCCGAACATACTACACTTGTGGGTCTCGCGCGGTCGGCCCGGCTTGCAATCCCAATTCACAACTCCACCACCTGCTTGTACGTTTCCAAAAACTTTGTGTTGTTTGGCGCTGGCGGGCCCGGACTTTACGCGGCCGCGTTTTGCTGCTAAAAACTATGATACTTTAAATACTATGGTATTTTTGGGTACTCAAGCTGTATCACGTCTGGACTTACTTAAGTTTAACCCCTTAACCCGGAACTTCGTACACAAAACTTCGTCGGCTCACGTCGACGGTTCGTCGGTCCGTGGCACCTTTTCCAGCATTTGGCATGCGGTGGCTTCCGATTCTGGAGGGTTAAATTTACATTCTGTTGCCGCCTCCGTAAAGTTTTGCACGTCAACTTGATACGGCAATTAATTCGCCATTGTCGCTCCGATTTTTCATCGCCTCTTAAGTGGTTTATTCCTGCTTTAGTCTTTTCTAACGTGGATTTTCGAGTTCAATGTTTTGGTCTTGACTTACTTTTCGTCAACTTATCGCTTGGAGCACACTCTTCCCGTTGGGATCATGGCCCTCTTTATTGACGGGCTGCTTTGGCTACTTGGGGCAATAAGGTTCTTCCCCGCCTACTGAATATCAATCCAGTCCTTACGAAGCTGACATGGCCAATATGGATCAATACTTTTATACGGTTCACCGTTCGTAAACGACCTCTTGCCACACTTCATCGTAAGGCATGTATTTTCTGAGTCATCAAAAAATTGTCCGAATTTCGACTTTTTGCTGCTGTTTCGGATCTCTCCCAGATGAACATACACTTATTGAGGCGCTTACTGGGCCCTCAATTAGGCCTGGTAGTTCCATGACTTCGGTTGTTCGTTCTTTGGCTCCCAATTGGCAATTACGGTCCAGTATAGTACCTTCGCTATTCACCCTCTCCCCCCTGACGATATGGTTGCTGCACTTCATATCTGGGCTCTTGAAGGATTTGATATCTGTGACGTTCCTAACTCGGTTATTCGTGGTTTACTTGACTCTCCGGCTCCTTCAGCTATACCACTGTCGCGCCTTGACGCTGATGAAGTGGCATTACCGGACTCTTTTTGGCGTACGGAACGCGCCTTCCAACATGATACTCTTCCAGCTTTCAATGATCTTCTTTTTTTGTCTCCAACATAATGGCTTGGGCTTCGCTATAGATATGGCTGAACACTTCTGATATTCACTGTGTCCATGGGTGTAATGCCCCTGAAACGGCTTACCATCTCTTCAGCGGATGTTTCTTGACTATTCGTCTTTGGCAGTTATTTTTGCCACCTCTTTTAATTAGACTTCGATTTAGTGGGTTCACATTATATTTCTTCGCGGTCTCTCCGTTCCGTCATCCCAACGCCTTACCTATGGAGCGTTGATGCCTCTACGGCTTTTTTACATTGTTCGATGCTGTGTTCTTCGGACGCTTTGGGTTAACTGCAACGATGCCATTTACAATCCTTTCGTTTTTCCGTTCATGGAACTTTACCGTCGCTGTGTGTCATTAATTCGTCTACATTTTTAACGATTATTCAAGACTCTGACCCACCCTCGCACGGCTGCGTTTGCTCGCAACAAGTCTCAGCTTCTCACTTTTCGTCTTGAATGGCACCTGGACTTCTTTGAAGATCCATTTACGTTTTTCGCGGACGTTTCCTGAATGGTTTTTGATTTTTCTCACATTGTCGTTTGGTACACTTTATCCGACTTATTTGCATAGGCCACTTAGTCAATTTTTTATTTGGCTTTGTCACATGACGTCTCCCATTTCAAGGCCATCCTAACGTATCATCACGACGCCCGTACTCACACCGACACTCGGACATCATCACTTCATTTTCCACATTGCTAGCCATTGCAATCCGGCGGTTACACTATTGTCGGTCACTCGTGCATTTCTTTCGGCGTTTACCCTATGATACTTTTTACGCTTCGGATCTCTTTTCAACTCTACGTTCACGTTTCTTTATTGTCCACACTTCAGCTTCTATTTCTCTCCAGGTTACATACCTTAACAATATAATGATACGTATTCAACAATTGGTCGACAAGTTTTTTATATCACGGCAACGAGAAATCAAAAGATACTTTCATGCTGATAAAAAAAAGATGTGATGCCTGAGATCAGCCCAGGCAGCACACCTAATAAACATGACGAACGCTGCAAGCCACACGTAAAACTCGTCCCACTTGACACAATACAGCCACTTTGCTTCTTTCAATTTAATTTGCAAATCGCCGGCGACGACAATGATCGAAGCTAGGCTTGCTTTCGGCAAGTAGGCGAAAGCTGACTTGGCCGTGTACAGCACCATCACCACAACAAGTACAATTGTCGCATTCGCAAGCTGCGTGCGCGCGTTCTATATGTTCACAGCTAAACCTTCAGCTGTCGAGCTTCTATAACGGGGTTACACGACGGTTGGATACGTACATCCAACTTAGTCACGGTTGTATATATACTTAATTATATAAGAACCCGCGGTGCACTACTTTAACACTCATTTCGGGACCGGGAGGTCACGGCCTCAAGTATGAGCTTTAATTGTACATCTGTGTACTAGGTGTGTCACCGTTAAATTACGTATACATCCAAAAGGTCAAGCCTGGTAAAATATCAATGCATAATTATATACATTGTATTTCCTACTTTTTCTTTCAGGCGGTATTACGTGTGGTTTTGAGGTATGATATCGGTAATACCGTACCATATCGGTTAGAGCTTGATAACCGATAGCGTCGTACTGTACTAAGTGCATCATATACATGACACGTCAGGAGCCTGAATATAAAATTACACCTTAAGATAATGTAGCTTTAAGCTTTCACCTTTTTATAAGTTCTTACAAACAAAAAACCTTTTAGCCTATAAGTCTTCCCTTAACATAAAAGAGCTACGTAAGTCCGCTACACGACTTGTACCCTATACGAATGAGTAAAAACACTACTACAGGTACACATATACACGAAACATCAGCCTTATAATGTTTTTACTTTGTAAAGTCCAATCAGTGTTGGAAATTGTCCACAACAAGCTGCTTTGGCGGAGACAATTTCACCATCCGTAAATTTTACATGTCGCCTTGATTCTTAGTCAAAAAGCACCAACGATTTAATCAATACACTGTTATCATTACTGCTATTTTCGAAACCTTTTCACATATTTTGCATGCTACTGCCATTTTTTCAATATTCCGAAAATTCGCACTGCTCCATTTCAAATTACTTTTGCAGCTATACCTTCTAAGCCTAATTGCTAAGATCAAGTGTATATCTGTTCGCTTAGTGTGAAAGTTGATTTCCTTACACATTGTAAGGGAACTTTACATTCATGTTTGCAGATCTTTCAATCAGTTTTTAGCTAGCTACTTACGCATACAATTGTTTTTGGGAGGTTGCAATCATTTTTTGTCAAACCAATTTTTAAATGGTCCCTTCTTGGCCTCGTCACTCTCGAACTGCGCAGTAGAAGGCACCCACCCGTGGTAAGTATAAATGAGACAGTCATCCACACCAGGCTTTGTTTAAAAAGATCGTGCGTTTCATCCCATGACCTCCCTTTCCTCCTTACAGCGAAAGGAGTGATACTGACGACATTTTAAGATTTCCTGCGCTACCACTAGCGCTAATTGAGGCTCTGTTATCTCCTGGGTCTTCGCAGCAGTATAGCTATTACATTTTAATGGCGCCGGACACACACCAATTCGATGCTAACAACTTGGATATGGGCGGGGATCGGACTCTTCCCAACCACTCATAGAAAAATATACACAAGACCTGGCTTGACGACCTGCGCATCCCGGAAAAGTACCACCGCGGTTGCCCAATTCAGCGCAAAAAGCTTTTCGAGGAAGATTGGTCCCTTGTATTAAGTTAATCGGCTATGTACGGGAGACAACTATTTCTCGACAAGCGCAGGGATCAATTGGGAACGCTCCGAGGCCACTTTTGCTAATAAAACAAGTGATCTTCATGCAGACTTGGTGGGTGAGATGAAGCCCCATACTGGCGAGAGTTGGCTACAATTGTGACTTTACTTCGTACAAGCGATATACACAAGCATCTCAGCCCAGTTTGCAATTAACAAGGCAAAAAAAACTATGAAGAGGCAACAGTATCCCAGCTTAATCAAAGGAGATCAAGAAGGACTACTCACTTTTTTTAAAAAGTCTGCATTCTCGGAGCACAAGGTGAAGAAGCATATATCGAACGCTCCAACCAGTGAGCCAGGACTTATACGTAACGAAATGGGCATTTGTGGAACAGTACCGAACACATTGTTTGCTTAACACGATCGAAGACAGTTGGAGGGACATCCGATTATGACGTTACAACGCCATTACTATATAAGAAAAGTATAGCAGCATTATTGCTACGATACTTAAATGGGCTAAATTGGTACGGGCCAACTTGCCGTTGCTACGTGCGCTGATA